CAGACCGGCCCATTGCCCGCCATTCCCATTTAACTGGGTCTTGCTTTTCTTTTGTCTCAGCTTGATTTTCCCCAAACAAATAAAAAAAAAAAAAACCAAAAAAAAAAAACCATCCTGACCAGTCCTGTCCCGTCGGGGCCAGTGGGAACAGCTGCTGGGTCTTTCGCCAGTGTACTTCACGACTATGGGTCTCGCCGCACGGCACACGAAACGAAAACGAAACGAGTGCATCTGCCCACGCAAGGTGGCAAAACACACACTCGTTACTATTTATAGCAAACCGACGAACCTGGCCATTTTCTGCCTGCAGATGCACTCGTTTCGCTTTTCCTTTCGTATCCCGTGCGGCGACGCCCTATGGCGCTCTGCTTCTTGCTTTGACTTTTGGCTGGTCCTTCAGGCATCGTCTTCTTGTCCTAGCTCCGTCCTTCTTCTTCGTCCTTTGCAGTGTCTGCATGGTCAGTCTGTCGCGTACTGCATTCATCATCCTCCCCCATACCCTATAGGCTGTAGGCACTGACGCTAAACTTGAAGGAGCCCCTTCAGATCGGAAACGCTGAGCGCAAAAACACCCCAGGGGCAGTGGAACCCCATGAGTGTGGATGCCAAGCAGGGAATGAGTTCCAAACGGGTGTGCACTGTGCACATGGGGACGTGCTTTCGGATTGGGCTATCGGCAGTGTTCTCCTGTCATATGTGACCTGGATACTCTTGTCCATCGTTTCTTTTTCACTTGGCCCCCCGTCCAGGATGTCTCTCTCTCTCTCTCTCTCTCTCTCTCTCTCTCTCTCTCTCTCTCTCTCTCTCTTTTCTGAACTGGCTCTTTGCGTCGGTCTTTNTCTCTCTCTCTCTCTCTCTTTTCTGAACTGGCTCTTTGCGTCGGTCTTCTCTCTCTCTCTCTCTCTCTCTCTCTCTCTCTCTCTCTCTCACACACACACACACACAGACACACACACCCCACACACACACAGAGACACACACACACATACGCACGCACACACGAGTGTGTGAGAGAAAGAGCTCGGAGCATTCGCGGTGGGTTTGTCTTTTCCTTCCTTTTTGTTTATTCTTTTATATGATTCTTTATTTATTTTTGTTTTTTTTATTGCCTTGTTGTCCTTTGCTAATAGAATTTGATGTCACCAGTTGCTGGTCCGAGATTCAATTTTAACGGTCCTCTTCCGCGAATAGAGCGTGTGGTCAGTGAAGCTATTTTCGGAGCAACTTTCGGGCCCGATACAGTTGAATATTCATGCCTTCTATTCAGGTGAAGGGGTACTATAGGGGTGCTATAGGGGTACCATAGGGGTACTATAGGGTACGAAGCGATAGCCACTCTCTCCGATCATAGGACTGGAAGTCTCTCTTCGTCGCATAGCGACTGCCACGTTGACCTTGTCGCCTAGCGACCGCCAGGTGGGCCTGTGGCTGACTGCCACGTGGAACGAGTCGCCTATAACTTCATTCTTTTTCGGTCTCGTTCTTAGCAGCGATGGGACTCATGTAGCCTAGCACTTACTTTAGGCTGTCATCTAGGCATGCCAATCAAATTTGGCTGCTGGGTAGCTCAACCTGTACAATCTCCGTCTTTATAGGTGGTCCTTGCAGCTTGCTGCCATTACAGTAAAAATAAATAAATAAATAAATAAACAAACAAATAAACAAATAAAATAATAAATAAAATAATAAATAAAATAATAAATAAGTAAATAAATAAATCAGCCAGAGATCGCTGGCGGGAGGCCTAGGCTAGGCGACTAGGACCACGTGGCAGTCGCAGCGCGATGAATGACCGGTACTTCTACTGTTTACGCTACTATAGTTGCAGAATAGCAACGATATTCATGGATTGATTGATTGATTGATTGATCACTGATTGGTTCAATGGTTGATTTGTTGATTTGTTGATTGGTTGGTTGGTTGATTGGTTGATTGGTTGATTGACAGGTGTCAGGTAGTTTTTGTGAATTCCTTGGGGTCCTTCGACGATTCCCAAAACCGTACATTAGTGCGGGGAAAACGGTAAAAAGCTTAAAAAAAATAAAAATAATAATAATAAATCCTCCGTCCTCATCAGAAAGGCGTTTCTTTTTTTGGGAAACTACACTGGAGAAAGAGTTTGAAAATACACTTTGGGGAAAAAAAACAGTTAAAAAAATTGCACTCCTGGCAGCGTATACACAAGTTAGCGTTTTGGTCAGGTAGGGTTGCTTGGGGGTGTGTGTTATGTTCGAGGGAATGCCTGCAGTGTAATTGCAAACTGTTTTGCCCGGGTATAGAATGGAAAATAACCGATCGAAGCGGAGTTAAAGTAATTGTGCGCCGTAGAAACATGGTCTTTATTACTTGTACTGATAAGCTAGGGGAGCCTTCGACGCAGGCCCACTCCCACTTATTGGGGATGCTCTTATCACCCCGTTAAGTGGAAACCGGCAGCGAAGTTTCATATTAAACAAAAAAAAAAAAAAAAAAAAAGAAAGGGGGAGCCCCTCCCACATAAGCAAAATATGTGACCTTGATAAAGAAAAAACAAAAAAAAAGGTGACCCGCTCTCACATAAGCAAAATCTGTGACTTCGAATCTTCGATCACCCCCTGGCATGTGTGGCAATCCACTTTTTTTTTTTTTTTTTTTTTTCTGGTAATCAATCGGGATCTTCACATAGTCCGTCATATACTTGGATGCAACCATCGCAACCTTTTCTCTTTTTTTTTTTTTTTTTCCCCTCCCTATTCTTAATTAATTCTACGCTCTCTGGTTCGATTTTCATCACCCCATTATAACCCTTGATTTAATGAAAAGCCGAGCCCGCCTTTGTCCAGCATCCCGCTTAAAGTTTGCTTTTATCTGCTCCTTGTACCCACCCCAGTGGCAGAGGATCCACACACCCATGAACCTCCCATTTTTGTTTGGTAATTATTTGTAGTCGTCAAGAGGATAACCTGTGAACTGACTGCAGCAGCGCATGTTTTCGGGAAGACAGTCTCTCTCTCTCTCTCTCTCTCTCTCTCTCTCTCTCTCTCTCTCTCTGTGTGTCTCTCTCTCGCTGTCGCTCTCTCTCTCTCTTTTTTTTTCATGGTCGAATCAATATATGGGGGTGTGTTTATGAATGGGAAGAACTAGTCGAAGGAGGGCCCGGAGAGGACGGGACCACAGAAGAGGGGGAAGGGAGGAGGGAAAGGAGGAGATGGGAAAAGGGTGGGTGGGGGGGGGAGGGTGGAAGAGAGGGAGGGTGGAAGAGAGGGAGGGGAGGAGGAGGGAAAGAAGGGGGAAAGGGAGAAGGGAGAAGGGAGAAGGGAGAGGGGAGAGGGGGAGTAGAAAGGGGAGGGGGAGAAGAAAGGGGAGGGGGAGAAGGGGGAGGGCCAGGAGTTTGAGGGGAAAAAGGGGAGGGGTTGGGGGAAGATGAGGGCCCTGAGGGGGAATGCCAAGTACGACAGGAGCTCGGGATAGGAGACAACGAGGTTTAGAATTCTTCCTTTGGATAGGAAAATTTTTGATTAATGCTGAGTAATTGGCGGTCAAGTGAACCTGGACCTGTATCAGCGCTGAGGGCCGTTCAGTGTGAACGGGACAGTCTAATATATACATTTGGCTTAGCTTCGACTTTCTGAAGCCAACCGCAAAAACAACAGGTTGGGAGAAAAGTGTGTTGACCAATGTTTTGACCAGGCAATCCAGGTCCAGGTTCAGTTGACCAATCTGACGATCGATTTTTTCACCCCCCCGATACGATATCTGAACCATCCAACAGTGCGACGGATAAAATAAAAAAATAAAAAAACAGTGCGACGGATAGCCTGCAGATGCGTTTACCCAAAAAAAAAAAAAAAAAAAAAAAAGACGAAGACGCTCATGTTGATTGATTATTTGTACACTGCCCTGACGAACAGTTACACAAAGTTGGACCTCGAGCCCCACGGAGTCGCTGACTAAAACACAGACGCCCCTTTTTCCTGCATCTCTGCATAAAGCACGTCCAGATTCAGCATCTCAGTCCAATCCTTCGTGCTACTAGTGGGACCTCGGCCCAGGGAGTCGCTACCTACTGCCACTGAAATCCCCCATTCTCTTCTTCCCCCTTTTTTGGGGTATAAACTACTAGGAGTCAGTCATGGTTCGAGTTTCACAATTACTCGATTTATGATTGTCATCCTTGCGCAGGGTCCATTTGCTAACGCCCTAAGGGTGCTTGTGCTCCACTGCAGTTCTTGAAGGACATTCCTCAAAAAAGAAAAGGGGTAACTTCGAGGCGCAGTCACGAAAACAGTTTGTAATTGCACTTCAGGCAATCCCGCGAATACAACACACCCCCACGCGACCCCACCGGACCCGAAACGTAGGTCAAATACATTCAGCATTACCGGCCCTTTTGCCTCAAGTGCAATTACAAACTCAATCCCTGACTGCGCAGTAGTTTTCTCAAAAAAAAAAGAAAGAAAAAAAAAAAAAAGTGCAGGCTCCACTGGCGTTTTTTCACTTTTACCCTTCTGGGATTCGCCTGGATTGGCTGAAATGTCACTGACATTTCCCTGAAAGCCCGATAGATGAGAACAGCAAAAGTCAGAACGAGGCCTGACCAGACGCCCGTGCACACAGAGAAATGCACAAAGAATCTTCGAAATTTAATTCTCCTCTGTTCTCCACATTCCGGTTAGCGAAAGTGGCGGTGAAAGAGGGAATGTGGAACGGGCGGTGGTCATTGGGGTGTGGAATGTACTYGGACCTGTAACGTCTATTTTTTGTGCTTAACGTGCTCGTCACTCTTCTTGATTTGAGTTGACTTACTCTGTTGTGAGTTTGCAATCATACTATACTGTGTAAAGCGCGGGTGAACTATCTTGGTAGGAGTTCATCTTGGAGTCCTCCTACCGAGATAAGTGAGCTCGATATTTCATTGTACGAGTGCTGGAATTTTCACCGAAAGTTACGGATGTGTGAAGTTGTCGTACCAGCTGTTGGATTACAGTGCGTTGGAGCGACTATCGTGTTCAGGTCGCTACTCGGAGGTTCATTGACGTCGAAGAATGGCGGGATACGGCGAGCATCGCGATTACGGCGGGAACTATCGCAGTTCTGGACGAGGAGACCGAGGGAGTTACGAGCGTGAGGAAAGTGCTGGTGGTGGGAGTGATAGGGTATATGACCGAGGGAGCTATGACAGGGGGCCGCGGCGGGGTCCGCCGACTTGTTATAATTGCGGTGAACCTGGTCATTACGCGAACCAATGTCCCCAGCTGCGCCGTCAACCTAGTGCGCATCCTTTTAATACGTCCGGTACGAAGGAACCGCGGAAGAGGAACAAATCGTTGAAAGGTAGGAACGAGAGGGCGAGGGCGGGAAATCACGAGGAGAATAGTCAACGTACTATTGCTCCATTACGTTTCCGTACACACGAGGGCGAGGACTGCGACTCGATCTTTTTGAGATTTTGAAGGAACAGGGTTCTGCCGGTAGGCTGAGTTTCAACATTTATTCTAGTGGGGGTAATATCTGGCAGACGACCTGGAAGGCGATCTCGAAGGCCTTCGGTAGTACAAAACTAACCCTGGGATCTGAGACACGCACACTTAAGCATTGCAAAGCATGGCTCGAGGGAGGAGGGCGATTTGCGGTGGAATATTTAGTCCAATGGAAGCCACAGTGTCGTTATCTGAAGGACACACTGACACGGCTGTTGAGGCAACCGAATTCTTTGACTAACTTATACAAATGGGGCATGCGATCTTTGTTGCGTCTGTATAATGCGGCCAAGGACTTCACGCGGAAATCCACTAGGAAATATCTCCGTCGTCTGATAGCTCGTGTGTTCTTGAGGAAATTTGACCTTAGTCTTAGTGCTGACCTACTTATCAAGATTAAGTTCGATGATAGACTGAGGTTGTGTGAGCTTCGTAAGGTGGTTAATGATCTGCTAATGACGTGTGATCTGCCTACTTGTTTTTTGGGACGTGCACGAAAGAAGGCTCGTATTGTCTGGCAGAAGAACCAGACAGTGGGTGAGCTTTTGCACAATCATCGAGCGTTCGCAGCTCGACCGGTGCTGACCTGCAGTTGTGCAGGCCTACCCTATCCCAGAGTGGATGGGCATGTGCAGTTCCGATTGAATAAGGATATGGTAGATAACCCGCTGTTAGCAAACGCTAGGAATATCCCCAAGGTCAGTATTACGAACCGAGTGAAGTTGTTGAGTGACGAAATTCGTGTTGGGTTTCAATCGTGGAGGAATTTGCAAGGGGTATTACCCACTGTCTCCGAGGGGATGTTGGCTGAATGTTTTATGGACTGTAAGGCTCAATCGTATTCCGAACTTTCAGTTGACGAAGTCCACGCGGCGAAGAAGCGCTTTGATGGCCTAGTACTTACCCCGCTGGATCGCAATCCTGGGGAGACTGTGGTCATGTGCCCGATGATTTACTATCAGGCAATGATAAGTACGTTCGTCTTGAATCCCGGCTACACCATCATGCAGGTGAATGAGGGAGTGGTCCTGAGAGAGTTACGGGAAGATGTTAACGCCGCTGGACTTCGGAAATTTGCGAAATGGGAGGGAAAGGGGCGGATCGGGTCTGCGTATGTTATTCCAAAACATAAGGACTTGACTCGTTATCGCCCGATCTGCCCCACGTACCTGGAACCAATGGTGCGTACGGGGAGAGTGGTAGCAAGGGGACTCAATTTCCTGCTGGGTAGGCTCCCGCGGGGCAGTCACTTCAATCTTCCTGCGGTATCTCAACTGACATCCGCGCTCGGACGTATCAACTCAAGTATTAATCAGCGTCGACGGGTCCCTGATGTGAAGGCTACGTCCTATGATATTAAGGACATGTTTAGCCGGTTACCACATCAGGAGATCCTGAGATCGTTGTCGTGGTTATTGGATTTTCATAAGATGAAGGGGCGCAGCTTTGTCAGAGTGAATACGAGAGGGAAGGGGAGTTCTTTCGGAAGAACAACGGGTGCTGATCACTGGAGGTTACTTTTGCTTGATGAAGTCTTCGAGTTTGTACGAATCGAATTGCAGCACACCTACACCTTCGCGACCAGCGTCTTGCTCAGAAAGGATGTAGGGATCCCCATGGGGAAGACTACGAGTCCCCCATTGGCTTGTACCTTATGCGCTTTTTTCGAATGCATGTTTTTGCGGAGCTTGGGGAAGTACGGTAGGCAGGTTTTTGGTATCCGCCTCGTTGATGATGTAATCCTGGTAACGGTGTCGTTGTCAGGGGAAAGATTGGAGTGGATCATGTCGAGGTTTTCTGAATGCTACCCAAGGAGCCTGTGCCTGAAACGAACAGATGATGGCACAGGCGTACTTGATTTCCTGGGGTGCATGGTGAGGTGCAGTAACTCATACCCCTATTTGGGATGTGTGCAGATGTCCAGGAACGAGGAGAGTATGTGGTCTACGGGGGAATTGGAATTTCAGTGCGGTCAGTCCTTTTATTCGTGGGGAAGCAAACAGCAGAAAAGCGCCACGATCAGTAGTTACTTGCACCGGATTGACCAAAACACTTCAATTCGAAGTGAGATTCCAGGCAGGGTACTATCACTGAAGCGAGAACTTAGGATGAGAGACTTTCCCATGATTTTTTTCGGTAACGTTCTGCGGAGATTCGCCTTTCGGAGAGATGAGGTTTGGAAACGCACTGTGGAATTGTTGGAGTGAATAACGGCATGGTAGGACTAGATTAGTGGTGCTTGCGCATATCGTTGCTGATGGATGATGTTTTGTGGTAGATGTACTTTGTTCACAAAATCAAGAATCGGATAGTGTCATTGTGCTTGTGTCCTATTTTCTGTGTTTTTTGGCTTTTTTGTTCTTTTTTGGTTCGTTGTGGTACGTTTGAACAGGTCAGGTACGTAATGTACACGATGATAGGACTAGTATCTGTTGGATGGAGTTTTTCGTCAGGTAATGCAGATGGTGCTAGATCGGGTGGCATGATCAAACAGGGCTGCTATCCGTTATGAGTGTCTGTGTAGTGTTAGCAGGGAGGTTCCGCCAGAGGCCGGTACGGCCCTGGTGCCCGGTTCCTCTAAGTTTCGGAATGGACGGACTTAGCCCGGACACTGCGGGAGCATTTTTTGCTGTAGCTATCTGGCACACCTGACTAGCGACCGGTGATTTTTGGACCTATAAGTACGTTCTGTGCGATTAGTTAGGCCTCTTACGGTGCTTTCACCTTCCGCCGACGCCAATCTCGGTTAGCGAAAGTGGCGGTGAAAGAGGGAATGTGGAACGGGCGGTGGTCATTGGGGTGTGGAATGTACTTGGACCTGTAACGTCTATTTTTTGTGCTTAACGTGCTCGTCACTCTTCTTGATTTGAGTTGACTTACTCTGTTGTGAGTTTGCAATCATACTATACTATACCTGTCTCTTATACACATCTAGATGTGTATAAGAGACAGATACTATACTGGGTTCTGGTCGTGATTGAGAGTACCTTCTTTAGGCGGGTTTCAGGCCGTACATAGGCCGTGCTGCGTGTCAATTACGAATGGGAGCCTCACAAAGGCACTGGCACCAACCCCCCGGATTTAGGCGGGTTTCAGGCCGTACATAGGCCTGTGAAGTCCTACAGGTCTTGCAGACAAGTCTTGTAGGCTGTATTAGCAGATAGACAGTAGTATCAGGAAGTAGAATAGTCTAGCAGTGTTTTTCCTTCATCTATTTTCTCTTCTTCCTTACCTGCCTTCTCGCCAACTTCATCTTCACACCCTCTTTATGCATTCCTTACTTCCCCCATCAGGGGAACTACCAACCTTCTCCGTCAGATATTGCTTCCTCCACTCCTGGCTTCCTCCACCCTCGCCCACTACTCCTCTAAAGCTCCTTACTTTCTGATCATCTCACACCCCTTCCCTTTAGATAACACGGTACCTTGCCATCCTTTCCCCATTGATACATCAGTAGATACAGAAGAGTTCTTAAGACACCTAAACAATTTAGTACAGATGTTTCTCGGGTCTTACTAGTCCCGTCAAAAGCGAAGCTGGCTAAAGATGCCAGAGGAGACAAACCGGGTTGAATTGTGGGGACCCCGGCCCCTTTCTTTCATGTTGGCAATCAAACAAACATTCTTAAAAAAAAARAAAAARAAAAAAAAAAGAAAAGAAAGAGTACCTTCTTTCCCCGAATGGAACGTACGGTCATTATAGCTGTATCTAGACTGAAAGATGCCTCAAATACAGCTATAATGACCGTACGTTGTGCTCGGGGGAAGAAGGTAGGTGCGAGGGTGTCTTTCTCTAAGAATTCCTTAAACAACGGGCCAGATGAATCAGGCCACGAATCGGGCCTCAGTGGAAATGACGAGAACTATGTGCACATGCTGCAAGGCAATGTTTTTTTCATCAGACTCTTGGAAAGGGCCGGGGGCCAAGTCCCACTAGCAGCGTTGAGCTACCTCAACGCCTGAATCTGGACGTGTTTGTAGAGACGTGCAGTTCAGGAAACTCGACACCATTTCTGCACATCTCCGCAAAAGCGTCCACATTCTGGCGTTGAGGTAGCTCAACGCTGCTAGTGGGACCTGGCCCCGGTAGGTTGAGCCGTGTCCCCCATGCACGTTTCGAGAGTGGTGTGGCGATGCCCTAATCTTCTCTCTATATCGTTCCAGTTGTAGTAGATGTCCCGAAGTACTAGATTTTATTTTTATTTATTTATTTATTTATTTTATTTTATTTTTTTTAAGAATTTGGATCATTTCTCGATTGATGCGTGTCATCCTTGAATGCGCAGGGGCCATTTTGCTAATTACCCTTCTCTTTCTCTGTAGCGTTCCAGTTGTACCGGATGTCCCCAAGTACTCGAGTTTCAAAATGCAGTCGAGGCAAAACGCTGAAAATTTTGAATGTATACAACGTAGCTTTCGGGTCCGATGGGGGGTGTGCTATGTTCGAAGGATGCCGGAAATGCATTTTCAATTTCAAACTGTCTTTTTCTTTTGGCGACTGCGCCCCCTGTAGTTGCCCCTTTCTTTTTTTTCTGTTTTGTTTTTTTCGCCCATTCTAGACTCTCGAGTCTAGAGAGAAAGGACGACGAAGCACCTCAACCGCCTGCCTACCGGCTGAGGTTCATCGCATAGCTGTGAGCTCAATCATCCAAAGACGTGCGCATACACACCCCGGTACACACCACGTGGCAAGAGCGCTGTACACCACGTGGCAAGAGCGCTGTACACCACGTGGCATGAGCGCTGTACACCACGTGGCAAGAGCGCCGTACACCACGTGGCAAGGGCGCTGTACACAAGTAGAAGGATAGAATCGATTGCAAAAGAGGGAGGGTATGGCTACCCCGACGGGTATGGCGACCGGCTGAGGGCAATGCTCATACTCACACCAGCCTGAGGACTTTTCCCGATGCATCCATCGGTCTGCATATACTGCCAGCGCTGGATGTATCTTACCGCAATTGCGTCCAGATCTGAGTCCCAAAAGTCGTTGCGCGCATGTGCCCTGACAGTCGTGTCATCGTTGGATGTATCCTAACCCAATTGCCGTCCAGAGAAACTCTCCCTTCGGTCAACCGTCTGGTCAAGCCTATTGCGACCCGCATGGGGGACACGGCTCATGTTTTTTCTATTCTTATTTTCTTTTTTCTTTTTTTCGGATAATTTGCAAAATACCCCCATAAGTTGAGATATATGCCAAAAAGCCCCTGAAAGATGTGGGTACAGCCGAATGCCCTTTTGGGCCCAAATCTTTGTGTTGTGCCCCTGTCAGGTGGTGTGCAACTTTGAAATCTGTACCTCCCCGTTTGGGACTTGGGTCACTTGGCCTTTTGCAATAGTGCCTAGGAAAAGCCGGCAGGTACTTTCTTGACGAGGATAAACTGACTCTCTCTCCCTCCTCCCCGCCCCACCTCTCCAACCCCACTTCACACTCACACACACACACTAGACGGTCAAAGGCTTTCCTTCCACGAATAGGCGACTAATGGACAGTTAGACCACCTGTAAGTTTCCCAGCCATTTTGCAGAAATGCGCCGTGCATGCTGCCATGATGCTGGTGCGCAGGCCAGGATGGATGGCCTACGCAACAGAAGGATGCACGGGGGTGCAGTTTCACCGGAAATCCGTCCAGGCAAATTGGGCCTTGCATGCAACTGATTTTGCCTGCCAGTGGATGGATTTCGGGCAAACTCCCACCCGACGCCCCACCATGCAGGGTGCGTTTCTGCAAAATGGCTGGGAAACGAACTGGTGGTTTAGTACTTCCTTATGGACGTTGCTGTATTGAATGCTCTTCTTCTTCTTCTTCTTCTTGCAAGAGCGTTGAGGAATTTTATCTTTCTTTGTATCAGGGATGTTGGACCCGGTTCCAGAAGTGCTTCTCCCAAGATGTGCCAAAAAACTAAGTCCGCTGTCGGTTTGTCCCTAATGGACCAAGCATTAGTTAGTAGTACATCAATCTTTGCGCTTTTGTTTTTTATTTTTATTTTTAAAGAAAAAAACGGCTCCAATCTATTGGCGGTGAGCAGCACCTGCTGGAAAGCGGGTCTGCTGTGGCATGTTGCCGCAGTTACCCTAATCTTTTTTTTTTTTTTTTTTTTTTTTTTTTTAACACAGAACAACCTTCGAGAGGGTGCTACCAACGTTACACAAAGTGAAATCGGTATTAAATAAAAAAGGGAAAAGAAGAAGAAGAAGAAGAGAAAGAAGAAAGAAAGAAAAAAGCGGAAACTACAGGGGACTCACAAAAATGAGTTATAATTGCACTATGGGCCAAGATACAGTTTGGAAGTGCAGTTCGTGCAATGCACACAACCCAGCTTTCTGGCCAGGTAGGGTGCCCCAAGTGCAATTGCGAACTGCATCTTGCCCCATAGTGCAATTGTAACTCGTTTTTGTGACTCTACTGCACTATGGGCCAAGATACAATTTCGAATTGGAGTTCAGGCAATGTATACAACCCACCTTTCTAGCCAGGTATGGTGCCCCAATTGCAATTGCAAACTGTATTTTGCCCCATAGTGCAATTATAACTCGTCTTTGTTACTCTACTCAAGTCTCAAGTTAACCGAGAAAGAAAGAAAAGAAAAGGACAAAACTCAGGATTTGTGTCACACAGACCAATATTGGTCATCAAGGACATAACGCAGGATTTGTGTCACACAAACCAATAGCTTCCTCCCCTCCTCCCCACCTCCTCCCAACTCCGCTCTGTTAGAAATCCCTCCCCTTGTTTTCATCGAACATCCTATTACCTCGGGCACGTTTCTTGGGCGGTACGACGAGGCCCTTTAGCTGTGTCATAAACAAGTGATGGGTTCAATCCCTCACGGAAGCGAGATTCTTAGGGGTAACCCCTCTTGAAATATAATAGGGAGCCGGGGCAAGGTCCCACTTGCACGGATTAAGAGATTCTGGCCGTTGATATTTTCCATCTACGGTCAATATCGCTTAATTCGTGTAAGTGGGACCTACAGTAGCCCCCGGTGGACGAGCAGCGAAAGTCCGTCCTTTCTTTTTTATTTTTATTTTTTAGAGAAGGTTCCATTTTTATTATATAAGCTGGGAAGGGGGCCCAGCATCCCTCACATATATAGCTGCAGCCACAGGGATGAGCCAGGCACTCCGGCCAGGCTTTCCCCCACCGCAGCAAAACTGAAACCGTCTCATGAACCTACATTCCCTATCTGCACGCCCTATGCACACCCCCTGTACTCACTCTATCTACTACTATGCACAATTAAAAACTGTACTCACACTAAAATTACACTTCTTCAAGTGTCTTGTCT